AGTGAATGGAGGGTCAAATGTTGATCGGACGCTGGTCCGGTTGTGACTGAACGCTGGCTGTAGTGTCCGGTCAGTTCATTTGATCAAGGTGAAGTTGTTTGGTTGCAACAGGACTGAAAAGTGACTGGACGCTGGGTGCTAGAGTTCGATCAACTCCAGAGAGGTTCCAGATAGGGAGATTCTTGATCGGACGCGTCCGGTCAGTGCTGACCAGACGCTGAACTGCGAAGTGACCGGACGCTGGGTGCTAGAGTCCGGTCAACATCAGTAAGGTTCTAGAGAGCAGTTTTTATGACCGGACGCGTTCGATCACAATTTAACAGCTCTGTGGCGGGGACAACTGACCGGAGCGTCCGGTCACCATGACCGGAGCGTCCGGTCACCCTACAGAGTGCTGACTCAACCTCCTAACGGTTTGTTTTGAATGAGGGGGTAGAAATACTTCCTCTATTCATCCAAGGGAGGTCTCTTGCCCATTTGATCAGCTGAGAAACACCTTTGAGAGTGCTAAGAAGAGCAAGAGCCTAGTGAGGTGATTGAGATTTAAGAATCCAAGATTAAGGCCTCATTAGTGCAAGGAGAGTAGTAAGTGTGCATCCACCCTTCTCATTAGGCTTGTTGTGGTCAAGTGAGAGTTCATGCTTGTTACTCTTGGTGATCGCCATCACCTAGACGGCTTGGTGGTGATTGAGAGTTTGGTGATCATCCGACGGAGCTTGTGGATAACCTAACTCAAGTTATGAGCGGTTGTGGGTGATTCACCGCGACGGAGTGTCGAAGAATCAACCCGTAGAGAGCACTTGATCCTTGCGCGGATCAAGGAGGAGCTACACCTTGCGCGGGTGCTCCAACGAGGACTGGTGGGGAGTGGCGACTCTCCGATACCTCGGCAAAACATCGCCGCATTTCTTCTCCTCTCTTTACTTCAAGCATTTACATTTGAGCAATTCATTTCTTGTCTTTATATTCTTAGAATTGTCATGCTAGAGTAGGATTGGAACCTAAGGTGCATAACTTTTGTGCGGTAGAATAATAGGAACACATTCTAGGCACAAGGGGTGAAGTAGGCTAAGTGTAGGGTTTAATTATTGAAAGAATTTTAGAATTAGTCCAATTCACCTCTCTTCTTGGGCATCTTGATCCTTTCAATTAGATTGTGTTTTTCAAGTGTAGAAAGATTGGGAATTGAGATAAGTTGTTATTGGAGAGCGATTTATTTTTAATCTTACCCCAAAAAATCAAAATTGAGAGGGTTTTGGAAACTCTTGAAGATTCTCTTATAGTTGATAGGTAATTGACTATAAGGAACTTAAGGTTGGAAAGAAAAAAGATCAGCCAAGTAGTTTATATCCCGTCTGTCTTTGGTGAAAATAAAATTGTGTGATAAAAAAACCTCTAAAACGGAGTCCACTCTCACGTACATAGAAAAAAACAATAGCCCAATAGTGTTCATAGAGAAACATTGATCGGAAAACATTTGGTGTGCCTTTCTAATATTAAAAAAAGGTTTGGGATATTTTGTCGTTTATATCACGTGCAGTTATTATTTCCACGGTTGGAAAATTGGTGAGTGGTGGGTAAGCATATGAAAAAGAGACATGCAATGATTGAGTGGATACCAAATAAATATTTAGTATCAAGAGATTTGTTAGTCCAGTTCAGTGATTTAAAAATACGATAAAGATAGGATGTGTGTACGGTGTCTATATGTGTGAGTTTACGCTTAGCATCTGTGTGGGTTTTGGGAAAAAATCGGCCCGTTGGTGGGTCGCGATGTCCACGAGGCTCTCTTATCCGCTCATATACCTGCTCCTCTTCAGGCACCACAATTTCTTAAAAAAATTCACCGCCACGCCGCGACTACGCTTCGCCGTGCCTCCAGCCCTCCTTCCTCTCTGCCGCCGTACCCTGTCACATCCCGCGCTGCTTCGCCGTGCAATGCCCCCATCCACTTCGCCCGTCGCAGAAAGAGAGGCAAGGGAGGCATGCACCTGCGCCCCCATCCAACGCGCCTGTCGGTAGGAAGGGGAGGCCTTCACGCTGCGCCTGGGGTGTACGTTGTACCATTGCTCTCGACGTCCCCCGTATCCGAGCTTGCTGGCTACCGGAGTTCATCACCAAGTAGGTTGTGGGCGTCAGCGACGCTGTGTTTCAAGTGTTTCAGACTTATGTTTCAAGTGTTTCATCTGAATGTTGCAAATAGATCTTGGATGTTGCATATGTTGTAAGTATATGTTTCAAGTGTTTCAGACATATGTTTCAAGTGTTTCATCTGGATGTTGCATATGTTACTATGACTCTATACGCATGTTTCAAAGCGTATGTTTTAAGTGTTTCACATGTTTTAGATTCATGTTGCAAGTGTTTCATCTGGATGTTGTAAAAAATAGATCTCGATGTGCATATGTTGCTATGACTATACACGCATGTTTCAAACATATGTTTGAAGTGTTTCATCTGTTTTTAGACGTATGTTGCAAGTGTTTTATCTGGATATTTTAAAAGTAGATCTGGAAGAGCACATGTTTCATCTGCCGCAACCACCCTGCCGTTGCTGCTGGGGCGCCGCCATGGGTCACCGTGCGGACGCCTGAGGCCGGTAGACGCCTCCGCGGCACACATCTGCAAGCGGGGCAGGTGGCTGGGACCCACGTGGGACCTAGGGGTGGGCGCGGGTGCGGCATGCGGACGTGGGGGCACTGATGCTAGATGGGATGCGGACTCGGATTGTAGGATACGGTGTGAGATAGCGTGTGGGAGCTGCGTCCGCACGCGCCTTCTGTCCGGACTTCGGCCGCTGGCCCTTCCGGAAAAAACATTGACCCTCTCTGATCAGATCAAATTACTACTGAGATAAAAAAAATCAATTTATTACTGTTTATAACTTGATTAGCCTTGGCCATGACCTTCATTAGCATGGACACACATCAGTCACGGTAAATGTCCGTCCCGATGGATGCCCGCAGGATTTCTACGTCCTGGAGGGAGAAATGAACAAAGATAATGTAGAGGGACGTGGAACTAGCGCGGCTGTTGCAGAGCATGCACGCTCCCACGCGGCCCGCGTGCGACGGATTCTTTGGTTCCACAGTTCGGCTGGTGCCTGCCGCCTGGAGCCTGGTGGTGGTGTGGGCTACTTTTGCTCCATCACCTACCAGCTACCAAATTTGTTTCGACGGCATTTGGCAATTGGCATGCGTCAAAATTCAGAATTTCCTGGCTCATACGGACACCAGCAGGAGTAGTTGGCACTTTGGCAGGAAGCTTGAGCGCGTGCATGACACACAGGTGTGCTTTCTGCTCTGCTTCCCGTCGCCAGCGTCCCAAGTCTGACGGCGCTGCGATCGCGTGTCCGTGTACTGCTCCTTCCTCTGACCAGTGGGACTAGGCTACTGCCCCCATCGGCTACTCCTGCCCCTTCACCCAGTACTCCGCTCTCGCCCTCCCTCCCACTTCTCGGGGCGTCCGGCGAGGAGGAACGCGGACTCGCGCTCGCGCCGTCGGAGGGAGGGAGATCCACTCGGAGCATGCGGGCCGCCGCGCCGCCGCGCGGTAGATGGTGAGCGCTCTTGGCTCCTCTCCCCCTCTGATTCTGCTGCCATGGGGCCATGGGGCTGGCCCGCTCCGTCAGGCCATGCCAGTTCGGATTGCCTTCCTTCCTCGACGACGTGACGGCTCGAGACTACAGATCGCTGCTCCCTCCCTCCAACTACCGCGCTCAGCCCACAGCCCAAACCCCGATCGAGCCTCTTCGTCGGAATCCACACCGCTTGCCCCCCTCCCCGTCGACCTCCTCGCCGGGACCCAATTCCACTTCCACGCGGCCGTCTCCTCCCAGCCCCGCATGCGCCCCCTGGATCCGTTCCGTCTGATTCCTCACCACTGCTTCCTCGTCAACCTACTTCTCACCAATAGGTGCACATCTTGTTACTTCATTGCTATACTGGATTCAAATTAGGTCCAGTTTGCAATTTACAAGAAGGTGCTCTAGTTCCACACATCTTTTCGCCGCCCATCATTGCCATCTGCAAGCTCCACAGTTTTCGCTCCAACCAGAGTAACTAATCATTTAATCCTTCTACTCTAGCAGTAAGTATGGTCAACTGTGCTGCTTCGCATCCTTTCAGTTTCGCAAGCTTTGGCACGTTGGAGTGAGGAGTGGGTGTCGGCTCTTTATGGCAACTTCAGTTTATTGCCACTGATACGCACAATAAATTCTCTGTTCCATACACAGATTATTTCATTGCTAGTATATCCATGATTTATAAATTCTTGGTCCCATTATTTTCTCTTTGTTAACGCTTCATGTGTGCCTTAATTTAAGTAGCCAAGGATATTCTAATCGACGTAATGTACAATCTCATTCGAGGTCCCTAGCAACTAGCATTTTGTGGCATTGTCCCAACATTTTGGTTGTCCTTTTTATCGTTGCCCTTTTTTACACTGAAGTGTGTGTGCTAATTTACTTAACTCCGTTCCTTATTTCTTTTTTTTTACTCTAGTTGTTTAATTGGCCTTCAGCCTTCAAGACACATAGAAATTACTCGGGCTTCATTATTCCCAATGAACATCCATAAGCAAGAGATCACCTGCATGTTCCATGCAGAAGTGAAAGGGATCGATTTGATGATTTTCTCCCACAGTATCAGTGTTGATTCTACTGAGTGAGCGTAGTTTCCCACGTTGTCCAAAATAATATTTAATTTTACACTGATTTGCGTTCCGACTATTACTAGTGCCCATTGTTCTCCAAGAAAATACATTCGGAGCCTAGTATTTCTGAGTACCATATAATGTGTAAACAATAAACCACTCACATGCTCATTGGAGAATTTGAAGACACTGATTTTTCCCCATACAATCACTCATGTTGGTCATATCCATTTTCCATGTTGAAACAAGGAAGAACCATATGTTTGGGTATTTCTGACTATTTGGCTTACCAACTGCAGAAACTGAGGAACACAGCAACAACACGAGCAAATTCAGCCTGTTTTCCAATGGGGGGTCGTGTTGGTGTCAAGTACAACAGCGTCAATGAGGGTGAAGAGCGTAAGGGAGGGCATGGCATCCCCAAGGTTTCCATGGTACCCCTCATATTCCTCATATTCTATGAAGTTTCAGGGGGTCCCTTTGGGATTGAGGATAGTGTCAAGGCTGCTGGGCCACTACTAGCAATCGTGGGCTTTCTTCTGTTTGCGCTCATATGGAGCATTCCAGAAGCTCTAATCACTGCTGAGATGGGCACAATGTTCCCAGAGAATGGTGGTTATGTTGTCTGGGTTTCTTCAGCTCTTGGTCCGTTCTGGGGTTTTCAGCAAGGATGGGCAAAGTGGCTCAGCGGTGTCATAGATAATGCCCTCTATCCAGTTCTTTTTCTGGACTATGTCAAGTCCAGTGTTCCGGCTCTTGGAGGTGGGCTCCCAAGGACCTTAGCAGTGCTTATCCTCACAGTTGCGCTTACATATATGAACTACAGAGGGCTGACTATAGTTGGCTGGGTGGCAGTCTTTCTTGGTGTGTTCTCTCTCCTCCCATTCTTTGTGATGGGATTGATTGCTATTCCAAGGATTGAACCTTCAAGGTGGCTTGAAATGGACTTGGGGAATGTGGATTGGGGATTGTATCTAAATACACTGTTTTGGAACCTCAACTATTGGGATTCAATTAGTACATTAGCTGGTGAAGTTGAGAATCCAAAGAGAACCCTACCAAGAGCGCTTTCTTATGCTCTAGTTCTAGTGGTGGGAGGATACCTCTACCCATTGATAACTTGCACAGCAGCAGTTCCAGTTGTTCGAGAGTACTGGTCAGATGGGTATTTTTCAGACATTGCAAGAATTCTCGGTGGCATTTGGTTGCACTCATGGATCCAAGCAGCAGCTGCTTTATCCAACATGGGCAATTTCCTCACTGAAATGAGCAGTGATTCTTACCAGCTTCTTGGGATGGCTGAACGTGGTATGCTCCCTGACTTTTTTGCCAAGAGATCTCACTATGGAACCCCGCTTATTGGCATCCTTTTCTCTGCCTTCGGTGTGATCCTACTGTCCTGGATGAGCTTCCAGGAAATCATCGCCGCCGAGAACTACCTCTACTGCTTTGGCATGATCCTGGAGTTCATTGCCTTCATCAAGCTTCGGGTGACCCATCCGAACGCCTCTCGGCCCTACAAGATACCTCTGGGCACCATTGGTGCTGTCCTGATGATCATCCCACCAGCTATTTTGATCATTGTGGTGATGGCCATCGCATCCTACAAGGTGATGGTGGTGAGCATCCTAGCGATGGTCATTGGGTTCGTGCTGCAGCCATGCCTAGGGTACGTGGAGAAGAAGCGATGGCTAAGGTTCTCCATCAGTGCAGACCTGCCCGATTTGCCTGATGCACAGGAAACTGCTGAAGATGATGCTGTTCCGCTCGTGTTCTAAACTTCTAATATTCCACTGTTATGCTCTGGAGGTGCTGTTCCCAATCAAGGCATCGTAGGACGGAATGTGACACTGGGATTCTCGACCTGTATCTCCTGGATGAGTTCCAAAGCCAGCAATCTTAGACATCTTGTATAATGATTTATTACGTTGTCACCATGCTTTTGGACATCATGATGGCATCAAACAGAAATGTAACACCACCAAATACTTGTTGCATCTGCTGTCATCTGTTGCTTAACTCATCTGTATACTAGGGTAGATCCATGATATGACATGTGGTTGCTCATCTGGGAATAGGAACTCTTGATACTAGGCTTGCCTTAAAATGGGAGAACGTGAACTCTTGATAAGAGGCGAGAAAGCAGCCTGGTTACCTGGTTTCCTTTACGGAGAAACTGTTATCAGTAATTCTATTTTTTTATGTGCAGTTTTGTGTTATAAATGGAGCATCAGTAGTTCGGTACAATTGTTCTTGGAAGTTAGTTGGCATTTTTATGCATTTTCAAGTCAGCTTTCAAAAACTATATTAGACGTTTGAGTCTTATTTCGGAAGGATTCTATTACTTTTCTGGATTCTTGAATCCGAATTTTCATCATTAGAATGTTTATGAATTTAAATAGTTACATGTCATGTGGAACGCTGGCATCAATTCCTTCTCTAAAAATTTCAAATAGAATGTTTATATTTCAAATGCTAGAATGTTTATGAATTTAACACGTTACATGTCTGGTGGTCTGGTGGAGGTCTATTTGACATGAAGCCAGTATATCACAATTGTTTAAATAATTAAATGTTCATGTAGAGATAAAATATGTGAATGAAAAGATAAATGTTGGATAACTATTATTGAGGTAAAATGCACAGGCGGTAATTTAACTTGTTATGGGTGTCATTGTCATTCAAATCTTGAACTCCCAAAATACGTTTTTCATGCCCCCGAACTTCTCACACGAACATATTCGCTGCCAACATAAGCAAAGTCGACAATAAAGATGTGCATGCAGCCCGTGGGCCAAAGGCCCGGCCCAAAGCACGGTTATTGGGCCCGACCCGAGCACGGCACGGCCTGAACCCTAACCGGGCCCGTGCCGGCCCGAAGCCCGTAGCAGGCCGGGCTTGGGCTGAGGCCTCGGCCCGCCGGGCGGCACGGCATGACCCGTTTTACAACGGCCGGCCCGGTGGAGGCCCGTTTTAATTTATTGAGCTGGTCGTACTATTTTTCTTTCTAGGGTTTTATCTCACGAGGTGTGAGTTTTACCTAAAATGGTTTTTAATGAGGCGGCATTACATAAAAAGCTCAAATCTTTTGTCATCTGGTGTTTCTGTGATTGTTAAATATGAATATGTGAACCTGTGATTGTGCTGTTAAATATGGTGTTTACTGTGTAACAGGCTATGGGCTGGCCCGATGGACCAGTGGGCCGCGGGCTCAACGGGCTGGCACGGCCCGATATTCGGCCCACGGACCGTGCCTGGGCCGTCCGACAGGCACGGTGGACTGTTCAGGCACGGCCCGGTGGCCCGGCGGGCCAAAAGGGCCCGAGCCCGATCGGGCCGTGCCTGGCCCGGGCTCGTGCCGTGCCGTGCCGTGCCAGCCCGTTGCTCATCTTTAGTCGACAATATTGATAGTTCTGGAAATAAAACTAATGTTAAGTATGCATGTAAACAAGCCTACATTAAGATATCGTAGCAATTGTCTCATTATATGACACTAGAATTTGTCTCATAATATGACACTAGAATTTATTGTGCGTTAGCAATTTGCCACCAAAAGTCTCGAAGGAGACACAGTCTATGCAAAAAAGGAGACACTTTGTCTACGCAAGCTTACGGTGCGTACAAACTGTATTTTCTGATTCTTAAACTGTCGAAAAATAACAGCTTTAGTGATTTGAATACTTGCCGCTCAATTTGATTACTAAGAGTTGGGTCAGATAAGATTTCATTCGAGCTAAACTCAGTTACAGCACTACCCATATTATTTGTCTCTCTCGATGATCTGGTACTTTCCGTTGCTAATCTTCATTTCAGGTCCCGTGACTTCCATTCTCAGGGTCACCACGTTCCCTTTTGTTAACCAAGAAACACCTCATTCCAAAAAGAACTGTGGATTGCAGCTTATTTGCAGCAGCAGTGGCTGTATTTTCTCTCTACTTGTACTGTACACCTACTGTTTTTGGCTGCAAAAAAACTGAAGCGAACAATCTAATTAACTAAATCTGGCACTAATGAAAGTGATGATCCATCAATCAAACATAGCTACTGACTAAAAATCAAGAGCAAAGATTGATTATTCAATTAATCATTTTGAATTACCTACTTGGCTGATTTTCCGCTAGCCTGCGCACGCCCGGTGCTGGCCACTCTCACTCGCACGCTTGGTGCCTCGCCTCCGTTCAGGTCACAAGGGTTCTAGAGTTGGGAACATAGCTGTAAATTTGTGTCTAAAGGCTGATCAATGTTCTTTAGGCCTTGGTTGGATGCACATGTATCCACCTCAACACATCTGGATTGATGTGGATAGATATACAACCAAACAAGGCCTTACGTGGTTATTCCGCCGCTTGATCTGTACATCTCCACTGGTGCTCACCAAGGAGCCCGCCAGTCCGGGCAGGCGTCTAGAGTCGCCGGCCCCCTGGATCCACCCTGGTTGACAAGCATGATCTTCACCTTCATGCTAACAACACCCTACATAATAATACATCAACAAGTTTTGTTGAGAAACTCCATTTGGACATGTTAGAGTCGTTTAACTAGTAGACCAGCAGGGTATGAAACTGCCTGCGCAGAAGGATGAACAAACTCTACAAAATTTTGTTACAACAAAGCAAACCATTTCCAATAGTGGCTAATAATCAATTATTGGTATGTGTTTTGCCATGCTTGCTGCATAAAATGGTCTTCAATTGATTGAATGCTCATGAGGAATCTTATTTGAGAGGATGTCCGAGGTGAAAAACCATTGGTCGAGGTGAAGGCTGCACACGAAACCTGCTTAAGAACTTGGGGCTTCGGATCAAGCTCAAAATGGGCTCCAAACCATGCTTTAAATCAAGTGTCTACTTCAATCAGTGGGCTTTTGGTGATTTAGCCTACATATGCACCCATGACTCCATGAGCGTTGACACTTACTTTTATTGTTCAAGAAATTATTCTATTTGATTATTTTACGTGAATTAGATTTTTGTAAAAAATGAGATGAAATCGGTACTTAATTTGCTTCTGTTGCAGTTATTTTAGTTAACATGTCATTTTTATAATCGCATCATAATTTCAGCCAATTTGTAGACTAACAATACGTTTAATTTCTTGGCTTGATAGTTTGCATTGTTAGGAAAAGGAACTGAAATTTGCAACTGATTTTAATAATGTGTTCCTAGAAAACCATTGATGTAATCTCGGAAAATTGATGTGAATTTTGATCGTGCTTCATGTTAAGATTAGACTCTAAATACAATTATCAAAATGTATTATTTATTACAAGGAACAAAGTTGCTATTTCACCATTGTGTATGCTCTTACTACTGAATGTAACAAGGAAAACGGGAGGATGCTCATCTACGGATCTACCTATCCTATTCGTTTTCATCTTTAGCATATTCCAGATTTCAAGTGCCGGCCGGGCGGGCGGCCCCCGTGCATAGGGAATAAAGATTGCCGCCGATAGGGAATCAAAGAGAGACAAAGGAACCAGTGGCAGGATAAATTTAGAAAATCATTGATGTAATCTCGGAACATTGATGTGAATTAAGATTAGACTCTTATCGATATGTATTATTTATTATTACAAGGAACAAAGTTGCTACTCCACTATTGTGTATGATTTTGTAGGGCATGTTTGATATGGTGGCCCGTTGGCCTGGCTGCGTTCCTGGGCTACAACTCTCATGTTTGATTTGCTAATCCTATTCCTCAGCTCGGCTCTCAAAGCACCTGACGAAGCGAGCGGGTGAGCGATTGGGTCACCTCCAGGCCTCTCACCTTTTTCTCTCGTCCACCGTCTTCACGCGGTCTTATGGGGCACCAGCAGCGGCAGGGGCGCTGCTGGCGACGACGAATGGGGCACCCGCGGCAAGGGGTGCCGCCGGCGACGACGCAAGGGGCCAGACGCGCCCAGATATGGAGCCCGCTGCTCTTCAGTCTCACCAGCGACCGTTGCCGTCATCGATTCAGACCACCGCGAGCAGCTAGGCGGCGGCGAGCACCAACCCGGCCTCCCTGCGCGAGGATGGACCTGTACATCTCGACGAGTGCCTTCTCGTCATAGTCCCTGGTTAGCGGCCGCGGCTGAGCGAAGGGTTGGCCGCGGTGGAGTACGGCCCGACGGCGCCGTAGCCGGCCACAACAGTGGAGGACGCGAGGTGCGTCGCGGAGCCACGGCGAGACCGCGCGCATGAGGCGCCGACCGAGGACGTCACGGCAGTGGGGTGCTCGTTGAAATGTCAAATGGGGAGAGAAAGGTGAAAGTGTGGCGGTAAGGGCTACCGAAATTCTAACGGAGAGTAATCATAGCCATTTGTATAGAAAAACAAAGTTCAGCTAGACTTATCTAGGTCAGTGAAACAAACACATGTGGTTGCATCATAGGAGCCGTGCTCGAGCTGGCCAGATCCAACCGGCCAGAAATCAAATACGCGCTTATAGACATCTACTGGCGAATGTAAAAAGGAAAACGAGAGGATGCTCATCTACCGATCATTTTTTTTTGACCGCAATCTACCGATCATATTCGGGGGGTGCCATTATCATTTTCTGAACGGAGTTGGCCACGGCATATTAGGGCGGCCCTCGTCAAAAGGGAATCAAAGTGAGAGGTTCCAGTGGCAGGATAAATTATGTTGTCTGAGCGTCATTATTACGGAGACTCACCACCTCAACCTCTATAACCTCTCACCAGTCACCACACTCACCACCACCGGTCAACGACAACCACCACCCATCCAAGTGCTGTATCGGTAGGCCCTGTCGCGATGGAGGTGGTAGCAACCATCTCAACTCGGCTGTTCTGCCTCTCGGTTGAGCTGAGAAACAAGGACTCCTCGTCCATTCCAGCGTGGTGGGTGCCGCTGCTCCCCGCGCTGCTGGCCTCTCTGCTCCACGCCACGGTGACCCGGCCGCTCGCCGTCGCCACGCGTCACTGGTTTGGTGGCCAGACCTGCTCAACATGGCTCCGGGTGCTGAGTAAGGTGACGAACGAGGTGCTTCGCATTCTGCTGTCAGAGCAGACGTCGCTGTGGTTGCTGTACCTGCTGGCGCCGCACCTGTTCGACATCAACGTCAAGCTCAAGGTGCAGGTTGGGACGCTTTTGGCGATGCTGCGCCCGCTGCTCAACAACACGGCGCGCCTCCTTCTCCGGCGTGTGACGGGCCTCCGTGTCAGCGCCGCTTCTACTGACGAGGATGAGGCCGCTGCTGATGGTACTGCTGCTGCTGATAGGCGGCAGCCTGGTGTAAGATAAGATGGGCCGCGAAGGTCGGCCAGGCATCGAAGGCCCAGCGTCAGGGTGTCGGGCCCAGAATGGGACAAGCGGCTCCGTGGCTAGTTTCGCCACTGTGCGCTTGGAGGTGAACTATTTTTCTTTTTATTTTTGCAAAAAAAAATTACTAAAGAAAACTCTATACCAGCGCCAATATGACTTTCCCAGGATATTTTGTTTTAAAACAGAGGAACTCAAGATTGTCGACCGAGGAAATTTTCCGGACCCCAACTTTACCGGCAAGGTAACATTTTTTAACCATCCTAAATTTGTTTAGACCCGGTGATGCTGGCCGTCGCCGGCATCTTCCGCCTCTAGCAGCTCCTGCGTGTCCATAGCCTACTCTGCCAAGTCGTTGGCCATCGTGGCGCCGGCGCCAGCGCCCGGCAGCGGTGCCAAATTTGCCTGGGATGGACGCTGGAGGTCACCTGGGATGGCCGCCGTGTGCCGCCGAGTACCTGGGATTTGAGCTGGAGGCCACCGCGCACGTGCCTGGTGCTCAGTGCTCACCATCAAGCTTTCAACGGGCTCTGTGCATGTTTCACCGTCACTTTGGCAACGCCACGTCGGATAAAAAAATGTCCATGTGTGGCTACTATAGACCTACAGTGCATTGTTTAACAAATCTAAGGACCTCGAATATATTTTTAAAGTTTATAGATTAAGGGTCTGTTCGATTCTCTCATTAAACTTTAAAGCGCTAAAAATTGCGGAACACTTTCGCTTAATTTTAAGGTCTAATACTCTAATTAGAGGTGGTTAAAGTTTATAGCTAACTTTAGACCACCTGTTTGACACTTTAGAGCTCAAGTTTAGAGAAATGGATCAAACAGACCCTAAGTGGCATTCCTTTTGCTTAACAAATTTAAGGACCTAGAATATATTTTTAAAGTTTATAGATTAAGGGCCTGTTCAATCCCCTAATATAAACTTTAGAGCTCTAAAAATTGTAAAACATTTTCGCTCAGTTTAGAGGTCTAATGCTCTAATGTGAGGTGGCTAAAATTTATAGCTAACCTTAGACCATATGAAGTATATTGGTACCGATCTACAAGAATAAAGGGGATATTCAAAGTTGTACTAATTATCGGGGAATTAAGTTGATGAGTCATACTATGAAGCTATGGGAGAGAGTTATCGAGCATCGCTTGAGAGCAATAACGCGGGTCTCTGTGAACCAATTTGGTTTCATGCCCGGAAGGTCAACCATGGAAGCCATTTTCTTAATAAGACAAGTTATGGAGCGGTATAGGGAGAAGAAGAAGGACATACACATGGTTTTTATTGACTTGGAGAAGGCTTATGATAAAATACCAAGGAATGTTACGTGGTGGACTTTGGACAAACATAAAGTCCCGACGAAGTACGTCGGGCTCATTAAGGACATGTACAACAATGTTGTGACTAGAGTTCGAACAAGTGATGGAGACACGGATGACTTCCCGATTAGGATAAGACTACATCAAGGGTCAACTTTGAGCCCTTATTTGTTTGCTTTAGTGATGGATGAGGTCACAAGGGACATACAAGGGGACATCCCTTGGTGTATGCTTTTCGCGGACGATGTAGTGCTAGTTGATGAAAGCCGGACAGGAGTGAATCAGAAACTGGAGTTATGGCGGGAGACTTTGGAGTCCAAAGGTTTTAGACTCAGCAGAACTAAAACTGAGTATATGAGATGTGACTTCGGCACTACTACTCGGGAGGAGGAAGATGTTAGTTTGGAAGGTCAAGTAGTGCCTAGGAAGGATACCTTTCGATATTTAGGATCAATGCTACAGAGGGACGGGGACATTGATGAAGATGTTAGCCATAGAATCAAAGCAGGGTGGATGAAGTGGCGGCAAGCGTCTGGTGTCCTATGTGACAAAAGGGTACCACAGAAGCTAAAAGGCAAGTTTTATAGGACGGCGATTAGACCTGCTATGTTGTATGGTGCAGAATGTTGGCCTACGAAAAGACGACATGTTCAACAGCTAAGTGTCGCGGAAATGTATATGTTGCGTTGGATTTGCGGTCATACAAGAAGGGATCGAGTTCGGAACGGTGATATACGTGATAGATTATGGGTAGCGGCAATTGAAGAAAAGCTTGTCCAACACCGGTTGAGATGGTTTGGACATGTGCAACGGAGACCCCTAGATGCACCGGTGCGTAGTGGAATCCTAAGCTAGGATAGTAACGTGAAGAGAGGCAGAGGAAGACCGAAGTTGACTTGGGTAGAGGCAATAAAAGGAGACTTGAAATGATAGAATATACCCAAAGACTTAGCCTTAGATAGGAGTGCTTGGAAGACAGCTATTCACGTGCCTGAACCTTAGATTGTTTCTGATGGGTTTCAACTCTAGCCGACCCCAACTTATTTGGGACTTAAAGGCTTTGTTGTTGTTGTTGTAACCTTAGACCATATGTTTGACACTTTAACTCTAACTACCTGTTTAACACTTTAACTCTAACTTTAGTTTAGAGCTCAAGTTTAGAGAAGGGGATCCAAACAAACACTAAGTGACATTCCTTAACCAGTTAAAGGACCATTCATATATTTAACTTTATAAATATTAGGATCAAACATACAAAAACAATGATTATATAAAAAAAATTACAATGTGTATATATTCCACGACACATGTCTATTCACAAATAAGGCAAGGAGCTCCACCACTAGAATAGAGTTACCTACAAGACAAGCACGCCGAGCGTAAATAAAGGTGAAAAACAGGATAATAAGAAACAAAAAGGATGTAAAGGAACAAAATGTCTACTAGGTGGGCCAAATCCCAGTTGAGCTCTAAAGAATTAACTCTCAAGTTGAACTATTGAAGCCAGCATAGTTGATCGTTCCCAATCAACTCATAACAATGTGACGCGAATTATGCAAAACCACACCTAGGCTATCGTCGCATTGATAGATGCTAACATTACAGTACATCGCCAAAATTGCAGAAGGCTCCCCAACATTCTTATCCAAACAAGTTTTTGCATTGCTAAGTTGATTCTGTAAAAGCATGTTGAACTACAGGCAAAAATAAACATACCAGAGGATACAATAAGGAACCACAATTTCATCCGGTACATATCAAGGTAGCTTGTCTCGGCAAAACTTAGTTTAAACAAAAGTAACACAGAACCAATACATAGCATCTGTCCATAATGCTTAAGGTAACCAACTGTCTTAGCATTGCCTTTATCATAAGATAGAAACCTAGCTAGGACCCGATCAAACTGCCATTTCAAGGACACTGTTGGGACCTTAGACCTCAGGTGCCAAGACCGGAGGGCGCAGCTCATCCTCATCCTTAGGGGTGTGGATGGTCACCAGGTCCGGAAGAGGGGTGATAGGGCCAACCTTGCCCTTCGGGTCCCAGTCGAGCATGATCTTCACCTTGATACCCAGAACACCCTGCACGACAGATGAAGTTTGTTGAGAAATTAGATTTGGACCATGTGGTGAAAATTAAGTGCCTGCTCAAAAGATAAACAAACATTACAAAGTGATTACAGGAAAACAGACCTGTCTGAGAAGGACGTGTCTCACAGCTGAGTCAATGTACTCGTTAACTGGCTGACCAGATGAGATCATGTAGCCATCCTTGAATTTCATGGACTTGGCTCTTTGGGCCCTGAGCTTTCCACTCACAATAACCTGTATTTAGAATAAATAATAATGTTGTTGAGATGCATTCACCAATCATCAGAAAATGAGCATATCCTCATAGAAGTACATAGAACAGTCACCTCACAACCCTTGGCACCACTCTCCATAACAAAGCGAAGAACACCATAGCAAGCCCTGCCAGCGATACAAGCATGTTAGTAAGGAGAACTATACTAACCATAATACATTACAGGGTCAAAAACCTAGAGAGCAAATTGAACAATGGCTCTTCAACATGTTACACAACATTCTATCATCCAAACAAGAAAAATATATTAGCAAATGCACAGATTGATACAATGGAAAGAAAGGCAGCACAAAGAAGAAAATTCATGAGCCTATGAGTACAATTCATGTCAAGAATGTGAGATAGAATTAGTAGACAAACAGCAAAAAGATTGTTCATCTGTGGATCTATCTCTCAACGGTTGTCTGGCCGCCGCTACTACAAGAGCAGCATTTCTTCTATGCACCACCTTAAGTCCAACCATCATAAAAGAAGGCAGGTAAAAATAAATATTGGTGCCAAAAATGGAAAAATTGTATCTGATACATTCAAATAACTGGTGAATGTTAGTGATGCAAAAGATTTTGTAGGAATGCCTAGCAAAACTATTAAACCATGAAATTACTTGCGGTGGGCACAACTACTGTAAATTAGGCCAATAAAGTTGATAGGCTATTAGGTCAATGGGACTGAAGAAATGTGAGACAGATTTAGTAGACAAACAACATGATATTAGTCATTTATCTGTGGATCTGTCTCAACGGTTGTCTGGCTGCCGCTGCCTCAAAGAGCAGCATTTCCTTTATGCACCCGTACAATATCCCACCAACAAGGACTGAAGGCAGAACATAAATCACAGGTGCAAGCATTCTAACCCCTGACTAATGTCTCGACTTAAGTTTTAATCAACTCGAAATTCTTCTAACCAGATTATAAGCAAATTCCGGGTTATCATCTCCTAAAAATTCCAAATTTTGGGATCTGTAGGCAAGGTATCGCTAACCACGAATCATTTTTCACCGCTATATGTACCAACTAAATACAATTCAATGCGCAAGCATATACAAATTATAAGCAACTAGCAACCACATCAAAACCAGCAAATCACACAACTAGCGGGTCTTATCAAGTTATACCTCCGGACGGCAAGGCCTCCGAGGAGCTTGTAGCGGAGGGACTCAGCCTGCGCGATGGCGCAGAGGCCGCGGTTGACGACCTTCTCGGCGTAGAGCTCGACGCCGTTCTCGGGGAAGTTGAACCTCTTCTGGACGACGGAGGTGAGCTCCCTGATCCTGCGCCCCTTCTCGCCAAGCACATTCTGCGTGCGCGTGGCGCGGATGATGATCTCCGTGCGCATCGGCGTGACGCGCACCTCCACGCCGGAGTAGCCGTCCTCCGCCAGCTCCCGCGTCAGCATCTCGTTGAGCTCGGCGTAGAACACACCGTCGCTGACGAACTACGCACACGAGCACCGCGGTCGGTTAGATCCATCGACGCAGGGGGGGGGGAGGAGACGGGAGGGTAGCGCAACGGTTAGGAGGAGCTCGCGTACCTTCTTCTTCTTGCTGATCTGGGTCGCCATGGTTGACGGAGGAAGATGGGGAGCTCGCTCCGGCGGCGGCGGCGAGCGGGCGAGAGCGCTAGGGTTTTGGGCGAGCGGGTCGGAAGGGGAGTGGCGGCGCGAGAGGAGGCGGCGAAGGGGGAGGAGGTTTTTATAGGTGGGGCGCCGGGGTAGGGTTTGGATGCGCCTTCTGGCTGGGAGAGGCGAGCGGAGAGCGGTAGGCTTTGAGGCCCATTTGCGGATAATGGGTCTGACTGCGTGCCTTGTGCCTTGAGGCCCATCATTGTGAATTTTAGCCCAATTAGCGGGTTCCTTATGAATCCTGACAAGTGGGACCCGGATGAAACTAATTGCGACAACCCTTTCGTCGAATTTTGAAAGGGATCGGGAGGAAAAATAACATTTGGGGAATTATCAAACATCTCGCTCGTTGGTGAGTCGCTGTCTGCCCAATACCCACCATCCCCACCAACGGCCGGCCGCCGCGGCGGAGCGGAGCAGAGCAGAGCGAGCCCCCATGGCGTCGAAGCAGATGGAGGAGATCCAGCGGAAGCTATCCCTGCTGGAGTACCCGCGGTCGAACGCCCCCGCGCAATCCCTCCTCTTCGCCGGCGTCGAGCGCTACCGCCTCCTCGAGTGGCTCTTCTTCCGGTACGCGCCCGCTCACCCGCGCCGCATTTCCTTTCCTCTCCGCTCGTCTGGGAGCTGTGATCTCTCTGCTGGGTTTGGGCTTCGATTTCGGGATTCGGGCCGGGAACTGACGGTCTGCTCGTTTGGTGTGTGCGTTCCGGAGGCTCCTAGGCGACAGATCGCCCTTCACGCAGCAGAACTGGCAGGGGGATAGCCTGGACCGCGACGAGGAGAACAACAGGATTCAACGTAAGGTTTTGGTTTCATCATTAGGCTAAAATGCTTTCCATTCCTGGGATCGCGCGTGGTGCTGATCTCGCGTTGGCGTGTGGTTCTGCAGACCTGGCGGAGATAGCTAACTTCCTGGGCATCACACCTTCGGTGGACACCGAGGCGATTCAGGTGATAGAAATGGCTGGCCTGTGTGTGTTATGTGTTACATTTGCTGGATTTTATGGTGCTATAGTCATGCAAGATGCCAAGATGTCTAGCACAGCACAATGGCAATTGCAAACTGAGATGTATGGTGTGTCATCTTTCATCGGTTCATAACAGTCGTTGTTGCAGGGTCGAGGTAGCTATGAGGAGCGGGTCGAACTGCTCCATCTTATTGTCGACCTAGTGGAAGCTAGTTGCTACGCTGACAATCCAGAATGGAGGTTGGGTTTACACACAATTATTTGTATCTGAAATAAAATGTACCTACTATGTTGATTATACAATAGATATTATACATAAAACTTGTGCAGCTTGTGATAAAACTTTCTTCCAACATCGTAATGTATGATGCCAAATGAAATCTGTTTACACAGAAAAGTATTGTGTTAATTTGCATATGAGGTGGGTACCTAACATAAAGTACTGAGAACAATTTGTACTGTTGTAGTGTTGATAAGCAATTGGAGAAGGATGTGCAACTCGTAGATTCTATTGCTGAGAAACAAGCCCAAATTTTTTCAGAGGAATGCAAACTTTTCCCTGCAGATGTCCAAATACAATCAATTTACCCCTTGTAAGTACTTCCAATTTAAATCCATGCCAAATGTACTGTCTAGCTGCTTCATGTGCCTGCAGAATTGCTCCAATGGTCTGAATCTTTGTGGACGCCCTGTGATCCTCAAATAACTAAATTGTTCAAATCACCTCAAATTTTCTAATATGAATTCAATTCTCGTTTCGTAGGCCTGATATCGCTGAATTAGAGTTGAAGCTCTCGGAGTATACCAAAAAGATGTCCAATCTGCAGCAAATGGTTCAGGAATTAGCATCGAAGGTACAATAGAATATACAACTGTACATATGTTTCAAGTTCAGGAATTAATGCTGGTTTATGTTTGAATGGAAACTTGGAGAAACTTTTTCTGCACTAGCTTCACAGTTTTCTTCCTTTTGAATTTTATAAAGGTTGTGCATTAATTATCAAAGGCAGAGCTAATTGTGACCTCTTGTCCGTTTCTTCACACCCCAACCTGCATGCTAAAGTTTTTTTTTTTTTGATATTTTCACAGTTGTATGTTATCTTTCAGAGCATGCAACCATTTAGCTTAATTTTTATAATGAATTACTTTCTGATACAATACATTCTGATTTTTTCTGTGTATATGATGCTGTTTGTTGTTCTTCCCTTAGTAGTCAGTATCATGCTATTTTAAGTTAACTGTGTAGTTGCTTGTGACAGTATGATTATAATCCAAATGAAGACTATGCCGAGACAGAGTTGAAGTTGAGGGAACACTTGAAATCATTTTTGGAAACGGTTAAATCCTTCAACACAATATATACTAAGGTGAATATCTTATGCAGCAATTCCTATTTTCCCCATATCTTGTTTATATACACTGGATATGTATAATATTTTCTGTTGGTGATTATTAATTTTAAGTGCTGAATATCTGTATAATAAAGGTGATTTGAATTATCATGATATAGGAAATCCATCCTTGGACCCACATGATGGAAGTGCCACAATTGCATGGCTTCGGTCCAGCTGCTAACCGCCTCTTGGAGGCATACAATACCCTTTTAAAGGTAATTTTGGAATGTCCGCTTCACTAATTGGTCATGTTGTTCATTTCTTGGTACTTTACTATCACTGACCTTCATACTGTGACATGGTTAGCCGATGGACAGTGTAACCAACAGGAATAAAACAGAATGTGTTTCTGCTGGAAATTGAGAACTAATTTGACCTGCTTTGAATAACTACAGCTCCTGTGCAGTTAGTGAGCGTTGAGCACCATATCTCTACAATACTATATCTCTTGAAATGCCCTGCCTTGGAATTGTATGACCTCATGTGTAATTCTGCTCCATCTTGACAATACCATATCTCTTTACCGTTAGTGGGCATCTTCTCAGGATCTTTCATTCCATGCTCTCTCCAATTAGATAGCGCACTGTGTTGTGTCTTTTGGGTTCCTGTTTCTAACCCACAGAACATGCCTTTTGACCTGGTCATTTATCTGTGACTTTTCAGTTCCTGGGAAATCTGAGGAGTCTCCGAGATTCATACACTGCAATGGCTGCTGGTTCACTGTCGGCTTCTAATGAGCCTTCATCTGTGACCAAGATTATTTCAGACTGCGAATCTGCACTGACCTTCTTGAATCACAGCCTTTCCATCCTTTCCACTTCTGTGGCACGTGAGCAGGGGGAAACACTATGAGTTTACAGTATTTGGATACCAAGATATAGTTTCGAGGAATTTATGTATGTAACCTTGCAGTGATTCAGTTGTTTGCTTCCTATTAAAAAAATCAGTCATTTGCATTTTAGTTTCTTCTGATGCATACACCCTCCATTCCAAATTATAAATAGTTCTGCCTTTCCTAGATACATTGTTTTTATTATGCATCTATAGGCTATGTCTAGATACATAATAAAAGTTATTTATCTAGAAAAAAACAAAAATGACTTATAGTTTGAAATGGAGGGATTAGTAAAGCTTTTGACCTCTTGCAAGTCTAGTTTGTAACACTTACTAAACATCATCCTTGATAAGTTGTATCTAGAGTTCTTCTCGAGTTTGTGCCGTTTCTGTATATGTATGTGCTTTTATCCTTGATAAGTTCTCTTGTTGATCGAATATTCTGGATTTAAAGAGAACTCCATATATTATATCTCTAGTGAAATTCACTTTGTCGAGGAACGCTCGAAACATAATATTGCAGTTGTTCAAGATTTTAAGGCCGCTTATATGTGGCTCACAGGCTTAGCAAATACAGTCCGACGTTTCAAGCAGTTTGGTTTTCAGTTTTCACCTAAATGTGGCATGCACTAGTCTAGCCAAATTTTGGCAAATTTTGGTCACCAGACTATGGTTTTGATCAACTTAGGCCACCAAAATGATTTAAGATGGAAAAACTACCAAGCTAAATTTTGGCATCAAACTCAATGGAAGCCCATTTTGGTCAAAGTAGCCAAATTTTGGTTTGTATCCTTGGGTACACATGGGTAACCAACCACACGCACCCGAGCATGTCCCGCCTACGGGGCCATTTGAGGCCTGTACTATTGTTTACGATTATTATGCTTATAATATAGTTATACTTTCTTGGTCCTCAAATAAATCAATTCCTAAAATTTATGTCAGTCGAATTATCTTAAGTTCGATTAACTTTATATAAATGAATAATAACATCTATGACATAAAATGAGTATGTTACGAAAATATATTCTATGGTATATCTAATGATATGAGTTTTTCTAGAGATTTGATTAAAGTTTAAAAAAAATTAACTTAAGACCACTCTATGAATATATTTATTCATAGACAGAGGTAGTATTAGAACATCGTCCCCGTCTGGCAGAGAGAGAAACGGACGCACATTTACGTCTTGTTTAGTTGGACCCCAAAGTGCAAAAAGTTGCTACAGTATCTGTCACATCGAATGTTTGCGGCCCGTGTATGGAGCATTAAATGTAGACGAAAATAAAAACTAATTGTACAGTTTGGTGGGAAATTGCGAGACAAACGTTTTGAGCCTAATTAGTCCATGTTTGAATACTATTTGTCAAATAAAAACGAACGTGCTACAGTAGCCCCAAAATCCAAATTCAGCCAACTAAACAAGGGCTTACACAAGTTTGTCCTTAGACATTACATCGACTTCATAGCTTGTACTAACTTCAATCCGGTGAGCGGCTCATGTCTGAGGGCTTACCTATGCTTCACCCTCGCGTACCGCCCCAACTTTCGTGTCTGTGTTCGACAACCATGTCCTATCACTTGGTGGTAATCTCGCAGGACGTTACGTATGCTTGCGGAGACGAAGATGCCCTCGCCTTATTGAGGTAGCCTCTGAGGAGAGCGTTGAAGCGAATAAAGTGCTCCACAATGACGTCACATCTTCAAGGGCTTGCCCGTGCTCAGGCAAGGCAAAGAGCCAACCAACGGTGCCTACGTAGTAGCACTTGGTGAAAGCAATCACAAGTGAGAGAGAGAGAGAGTAAAGAGGCAGAGGGCAGTAGGGGACCAGAAATAGCATTGCAGAAGCGAACACACTTACTCCCTCTGTGTTTACAAGGTAGTGTATTCCAAAACATTTAATAAGATATTTAAAGGAATACTAAATGGCGCATATATATATACCCACCCGTTATATAGCACAATGCATTCTAAAACGTTTAAGATAACTTATTAAACGAACACTCAATGACGCATTGTACCCATGCATTAAACCTGGTTAAGGAGTTTATCATCAAATTATGGTTTTCTTTTTAAAAAAACTTTGCTAGATTTGAGTATGGGCACCACATAGAGTGCTTTATATTTCAGTAAAAAATTTAAAAGCTATAATACACTATACTACAGTACGGAGGAGTAGCTCTAAGCTTCTGAATTTTATTATATGATTAGAATAAAAACTTGATTTTCTTTATCTACTATAATAGAAAAAACAATTCAACCATACAACCTTGGAATACTTTGATATAGGAATATTCTGTTCCAAGATATATACAAAATTCCTTATAGTTAGAGCTATGACAAATGTGGTTCTATTGTTTTTTTTTGGCCTATGACTTCATATCCGACCATAAAATTATTGTTTTTTGCAACATTGTTACTATAGTCGCGTGTGATATTTAGAGTATACATAGATATCTTTACATGTATCTAGAAATATTTTTTTCGATCCGACATTAACCCCATTTCTATTCATTACACAGAAATACTAGTCTCTCTCTTTCTATATATATAATATAATATAATACAACGGATCAAGATAAGATTGATGACGTGTTTGGTTACACGCCATGGCTAGCCACGTCGTTTCAGCAGCGAGATTGATCGCCGCATGTCTCACCTTCGTCACGGACAAAACGACAAGCCACGGGAGCTGGTGGCTAAAATTTACACGGCAACCAAGCAGCGGCCAAAGTTGCCGGACTTTTTGGCGTGGCAAGTTGCGCCGTGCAACCAACACATGCCCTTGAGTATATTTTTTTTTAAAACAATATGCCCGAGTATACAACCAAATAGGTTGGGCATCCGGTGTATATTATTTGACCATCGGCCAAAAGTTTCGTACATGAGGATTGAGGCATCAGAGAGCGATAGGAATTGGGAGGCGCGGATGGGGGTTGGAAAAAAAAGGTAATGGTCCATGTGCACGGTGCACCCGTGCACGAGTGTGCTACAGTGGGAGGAGGGAGACTGGAGAGCGTAGAGCACATGGCAGGAGCCGCGACCCGCGCGGTGGCGGAGCTGCGACGCGACGCAGGACTGCAGGAGTAGTGGATCTTGATCTGGCCCGGGGCCCGGGGGATGATGGATGCCAGCCAGGCGGCCTCCATCCGCCGTCCGTCCCCTCCATCCGACGGCGCTCCCGCCGCGCCTCGCTGCGCCGGCCCACGCCGCCTCTGACGAGCGAGCCCAATCATTTCACATCTGGCTCTCGTCAGGAGCAACCCAGTCCTCCCACCTCGGGCCCCGTCCTCTCGGCGACTCGGCTCCTCGCAGTCCCTCGCTGCGTTCGCCAAAAGCAGCAGCAGCAGGTCCAGCCGTCGCCGTCTCCACTCTCCGCCACTGCTCCGCCGCGCGCCGGATCGAGGGAGGGCAGGCGGAGGAGGAGGACGAGGAGGAGGGATGAGTCTCTTCGGGCTTGGGCGGTGAGCGCTCGCGCGATCTCGATCGTATCGTACACATGCTTCTTCGCTCTGCTCCCTTTGCTTTTTTTACCCCTCTCGTCCCTGGCTTGGCGCCCGTGGGTTCGGGACGGCGGGATCCAGGCCGTTGCTGCTGGAATTGAGATCTCGCGCGCGGGGGGTTTGCGGGATCGGGGAACTCCCTCCCCAGCTTGATCCGCTGCTCTAGCTGGGGATCGGCCCTAATTAGGGGATATTCTGTGTTCAGCAATCACGGCCATGCTAGTGCCACTGTGGGGAGTCCTATTCCGCTCTGCTGAACCCTTGTTTTTCCACCTTGGTTTTCGGTTTCCTCCCTAAAATGCGAGTTCAGTTAGCCCACTTCTCCCGGCGTGTTCAGTTAGACCACTTCTCCACCAGTTCCCTGTGAAGCCCCCTCACCGCCGCCTGGAATCAAGCCACTTCTCTAGAGTGAGTCGTGGAACCAATCCTGCCTGAAATCTACAAGATGGCATGCATGGGAGGCCTGGTTTGCATTCCCCTGTAAGATAAGATTGGTTGCGCATTTACTCTGCATGGAAAGCAGATACCCATGGCTCAATCCCACCCTGGATTGGTTCCCCTTGGGGAATTAATCCCTTGCAACCCAACATGCCCGGCGTTGTTGAGGAATTCTGCTGATTTTAGCTTCTGATGCAGCAATCGTCCTGATCAGTGCTTTTTATTCCTCTGGCAGGAACCAGAAGACATTCCGTCCCAAGAAGAGCGCTCCATCAGGCAGCAAGGTAAGAATTTCGACTTCCCAGTTCCCTCTTTAAGTACTAGTTATTGCTAGGTACCAGCAACAACTGCCTGTACTTGTGCCCATTGTTTGGCGTGCTGTGTAGCATGCAAAGTGCGTTTCATGTGTGGTGGCCGTTGCCTTGCTGCTCTGGATCATCAATCAAAATTTGATGTGTCCAGGTGATCATGCATCAGAGCCACCTGGCTAAGCACTATTGTTGCAACCGGTAGGACCATGATTGATGACTGAACATGCGAGCAATGTATCTAGGTGCCAATTTGTTGCAATATCTAGTGATTTGTTTGGCCATGCTACATCCAGGATTTTAATCAGTCGTCATGAACTGTTTAGGGGGCATGCAGATGCAGGCTATTCTTGTCACTGAAAAGTATGCGATAGAGCTTGTCTGCTAGTGCAATTAGTCTGGTTAGAACTTTGGGTTAAACTTCAGGAGTATGAATTGGTGATCGATCTTATCAGTGTTCAGGAAGTAGACAGACTTTAAGTTATCTGTTTTGGCTTTAGTCTTTCTGTTCTGGCCATGTCCAGAACTAAAGGATATCTTGCTCGGTTGACATTCTTGTTGGCTATTGCGAAGAGCTCTGTTTATCACTGCACATTTGTTAACATAAGTGACACAAGCAGTTTTGTTGGATTGCTGTATTCTTCCATCTATTCCAAGACACTCTGTACTAAACATTTTGAAACACTGATAACGAGATTCCCTTTGCTGCTTATCATGTGTCAATTAAATCCAGTACACAAATACTTTCAGTGAAAGGTCTAACAAACATTGTTGTCCCACATCTATGGTGGTAGTATTTATATAGCCAATGAATCCTTTGCGAAACTATGTAGGATGCTTATTTAGCATTGAGTGGTGTTAATGAAAGACTTGCAGCAGTTATTTCTAGCACATTCAATCTTCAGTACATGCCATGGCTCTTAAATCACCTGTGATGAGCAAACTTTCTAGATTTTCCTATACACTGTCTTCAAATCTTGCATGTTTTATTTGCCACTAGAAATAAGCAGGCATCGAGTCATAAATTACAATGTGAATAGTGTGATGCTTAACTTGACCTTTTCTTTCTGTCTGCAGGGAGCGCAGCTCCGAAAGCACATAGATGCCACTCTCGGCAGTGGAAACCTTAGGGAAGCTGTGAGGTTGCCTCCTGGAGAGGATATCAATGAATGGCTTGCTGTGAATAGTAACATTCTTCCCTTTCGTTTGCAATTTTCACCTAACTCGGTTGTTCCATTGAAGCTAACATGTTTGTTTTGCTTTGCAGCTGTGGATTTCTTTAACCAAGTTAATCTGCTGTATGGCACACTCACAGAATTCTGCACACCTGAGAGCTGCCCGACAATGACAGCTGGCCCAAAGTGAGCCTTTACAAGTTTTCATACATTCTATTCTTTTGGATTGTCAAAATGTAACATGGTGAAAATTATCCAAAAAGTTTGTCAGTGACTAGTTTATTTGAATAATTGTAATTTTGTGTACGGTGAACTGTTTCACCAAGGCTGCTATTGAATGATGACTCTTAGAGGCTAAGTGTCTCGTTGCTAAGTTGCTATTTGCTATTATATCTTGACTAGTGACTCATTTTTCTGGCTTCATAGGGACATGAAGTCTTTGAAACTAATTAATCTCTTTTTGTAGAAGACTAGAAGCTATACATAACTATCAATTGTTAGGGTGTCAGAACTTGGAATTATGATGATGTACTAGCTCAAAAGTTCAATATTAGTGTACCTAAAAAATGTATGCCTCATGGTTACCTTTTCTTAATTGCACTTGTATTTCTCTGCAATGCAAGGCCATGCTCATTTTCACATGCTGTTCTAGTGTAATATGAATCTTGATAATGGATAGTCCAGGTTATGCCTCTTTTTGAGAGAAGAAAATTTTGAAAAAGGACTTTGTTTGTGGCCATGCCTATTGTGGTGCTAAGCATTTAACAAGTTAGCATTTTGTCATATAACTCCATCCGTTATAAATTGGTGCCTGTGATGCATATTCTTGGAAACTAGTTTTTATTTAGATCATATCATGACAGAGCAAACATGAGGTTTATGCAGGTATGAGTACAGATGGGCTGATGGTGTGCAGATAAAGAAACCCATAGAGGTATCCGCACCAAAATATGTGGAGTATCTGATGGATTGGATTGAAGGCCAGCTTGATGATGAATCCATATTCCCTCAAAAACTTGGTATGTTGCTTTTTATTGTGGATTTGTGGAGCTCTCTTAGTTTCTTGTGAACACCTGACATCGGATGCAATCGAGCATGTTATCTGATTTGGATTTCGTTTCCCCTCTGTCAAGGCACACCATTCCCGCCAAACTTCAAGGAAGTAGTAAAGACAATATTCAAGCGCTTGTTTCGTGTCTATGCCCACATCTACCACTCTCATTTCCAGAAGATTGTTAGCCTTAAAGAGGAGGCCCATCTCAATACCTGTTTCAAGCACTTCATTCTGTTTACAAATGTAGGTCCCATCATTCATGGCAATTGCTTTTTATACAACACAATTACATACCTACATTCTTGGCCAGGGAAAAAGGAAAATGGCAGCAGTTAACGTTCTTTGGTGTTTGTGCTGCAGGAGTTTGGCCTGATTGACAAGAAGGAGCTGGCTCCACTCCAGGAGCTCATCGAATCCATCATCGTTCCTTACTGAGAATACGCTGTACTAAACATGGATACAGAGCTCTCAATGCTGATGGCTGTGAAATTTAGTCTGTTTGTGACAATACTTCACTGCATAGAGCTTATTGTTCCAGTTATTAGACATAAAAGGACACTAATGTTATATATGTGTTTGTACCTGTGTGTTTCTTCCTGATCATGTATTGGCCATGTAAGTGTGCCTGTTATCAGCTATAGAACGATGGTGATGATGTTGTACTGCAGAAAGAAAAACACAAGAAAGCTGTGTTGGATTAATGTATGCAGTGTTTGTTTCCTCCTGGTTATGTGTTACCGTCAGTTTGTCAACTTATTTCCAAAAACTCCCTCTGGCTAAATTGTAAACCGTTTCAGTTTTGTCCGAAGTCAAAACTTCTTCAATTTTGACTAAGTTCATAGACAAATATTGTTGACATTTACAAAACCATATAAATTTGTACTAAAGCATACCGTATTATATATTCACTGTGTAGATCTACTTATGTGGAGTCTAATAAAATTAGATTTTTTATTTTATGATTTTTTAAAAATTCACCGGGAAAAAAAAGAAAAAGAAAATTCAAACCATAGGTAGTGTAGCAAACCCGCTGTTAAGGCTGGGCAAAAATAACCGAGAACCGAACCGAAAGAACCGGAACCGAAAGAACCGGAACCGGAACCGAAAATTTCGGTTCCTTATTCGGTTCCTGATATTGAAGAACCGAAATAACCGAAGAAAATTCGGTTCCTACTCTCGGTTAACCGAATTAACCGAAAGAACCGAATTACATGAATTATACTTCACCTACTTGTATTTTGTAGGATTATGTGTAGTGTTTTATATTTGAACTGCTATATATTTGTGTTATTATATTGCTATTGTTTTCTTATATATTATTATTATTAAAAATAAATATAGTGTTGCACAAATTTGCCTTAGAACAAGTATATTTATTATTGTCTTGAGGTCTTCTGAAAAAATTCGGTTAGTTCGGTTAGAACCGGAACCGAACCGAAATAACCGAGAACCGAAATGCTCGGTTCCTAAAATTTTATGGAACCGATCGGTTCCCATTTTCTAGGAACCGAATTTCTTCGATAACCGAAGGAACCGAACCGAAACCGAACCGAGAACCGAACGCCCACCCTGACCCGCTGTTACTGTAGTAAACCCACTGTTAAAAATCGCCCGGAAGTTAAAATAGTCGATTTTGGAAAGTTCAGGGGTAAAACAGACGGCTTCATAGTTAGGGGGTGAAGTAGACCATGTATGAAAGGTGGGGGGTTAAGTAGACTTTTTCCTAAATAAATTGTCAATGCATGTTTCAAATTTGATTTAATGAAACTTTTTTGATGTGCTAGATGTTGAGCAGATTATGTTAGTTTGATTTAGGAGAAAAATAAAATGACATCCGATTCGGATCTAAAACTTCCTCAGAACTATAAACTTCCTCAATTTGGAACTATTAAGCAAGTATGTATCGTTTCCATAATCTGAACCTTCATCTCTGGTAGAGAATCCAATGAAAAACGACATGGAAGCTGACAATCTAATGAAAAATGACATGGATACTGCAATAGAACACGTGAAAGAAATGCCATGTTGCTGTAACAAGACATGCCATTTCTGCTCTGATCACAAACATGTCATTTCAGCTCTGATCACGATAACACAAACATTAGGATGATCACAATAACACAAACATTAGGAAGACATGTCATTTCTGCTCTGATCAGAATAACACAAACATTAGGATGATCACAATAACACAAAAATTAGGAAGACATGCCATTCTGCTCTGATCAAAATAACACACCAAGGTTCATACTAGAGGCAATTAACACAACACATGGCATGGCACCACAGAAGCTTCGATTGGTGCAGATGATACTACTGGTGCTACCACGAGGTGCGGTAGGCGGGAGCAGAACGGACGAACGCGACGCTGCTTCTCCTCCTGCTGAACACAAAGCTACTGATGGAGCATGGCGGCGAAGCACGGGGCAGGGGCACTAGACGCGGCCCTCCCAGAGGCAGGGCTGGTCATCGGTGCAGAGGACGAGGAGCGCCGGCGGCGGCGCGAGGCCGAGCGCGGCGGCGCGGCGCCAGCGCTGGGCGCGGGTGACGCCGAGGCACGGCCCGTAGCGCATGTCCATGTCGAACTCGCGGGCGGCCCGCTCCCGCTCCTCCTGCTGGAGCCTCGTCGAGTCGGCGCCATGATCTGCGGTGACGAGAGACGAGTCAAATCGATCGATCTGACAGTGGTGCCGCGGAAGAGGAACAGCGATCGGGGGGATTCGGGATCGGGAATAGTACCTGGGGCCGGGTGGACGTGGACGGCGGGAGCGGCCTTCTGGTGGTGGTGCGCCGCCGCCGCCGCCTTCTTGGAGACGCCGCCGGTGGACTTGGTTGCGGCCCCGGCGCCGGCGTGCGCCTTCTGCTGACGGAAGAAAGACTTCATGTCGCCTCCGCCGCCCCTCGTCATGGCTCCGGCGGGCGATCTCTCTCCTGCGGAGCTGGTGGTGGGGTTGGGATGAATGGGGATTGGAATGCGGCGGCAGAGGAATGAATGGGGAACGATGGTGGATGACTGGATGGTGAGGGGGTTGCTGTTTATATACGGGATGCGAATGGCTACACGAGACGGCGCTGTGGCCGTTGTGAGAGGCGATTCGAAATTTTTTGAATTTTGAAATGGGCGTGCGTGCGTCGTGCCATACGGTTCCTTCTCCGAGCGAGAATCCACTCACATCCGGCCGGCCGTCCGTGCGTCTGCAAAGTGGAACCCACCTGCTCGCTGCTGCTCCGAGAGAATCCTGCTCATACTGTTCCTAGTTTCTGTCGACATTGTACATTGTTCAGCTCATACAATACTCTATTTTAGAGTTATTTTAAAGAAATATTTAAAATTTAACCGAATTAAAAAAACATAAAAATATTTATGATACTAAATTAGTATCATAAAATATACCATAAAATATTTTGAGTGAAATACACTGGTGGTCCTTTAACTTGTTGGCCTGTGCCAGCCCGGTCCACGAACTTGCAAACGTGAAAAATAGGCCATTGAACTTGTCAATTTGTTCACCGCAGGCCCATTTCCCATCCGGCGCGGCCTCCAGGCGACGTGGCAGCACGTGCGCCGCACGTTTCAATACCGAACACAGGTGACAATATGCATCTAGGCCCTTCCGCATCTGCCCATCTCCAAAATCTTATCTTCTTCAAGTTCATCGAGCTAGGGGCGAGGCGGCGGCGGGGGCGTGGCGGCTTGCGACGGAGGCACCATGGCTAGCGAATCAAGGGCGTCTACGGCTGATCCAGCCGATATACCGCTGATTCAGTGCAGGGAGTGCGGGCGGGCAAGGGTGGTGCGCCAGGTATCGAAGCAGGAATAGAGCTTTGGGCAGGCGTTCTACTGCTGCCCGTTCTACAAGGTTAGCGGTTCAATTAAGATGAAGTTCTTATTCTTGCTAGATTCGAAGCTGATATTAGGATTTTTTGTAGCGAGATGGAACCGGTTGCCCTTTCTGGAAGTGGGAGGAGTACTTGGAGGTGGTGTTCGATAAGAACACTGCTGGTGCTCAAGCAAGTCCCAGCAATGCAGGCACAACCATGGTGGAATCTCCTGATTTGAAGATGAACACCGATGGAGGAGTACGCAACAATGGTTGGGTGAAGAGGGAAGCTGTATCTACTGAAATGGTGAAAGAAGTAGTCATGGTGCTGAAGGTTATATTTGTAGTCTGTGTTGCTCTACTGTTTGTGCTCATTCTTGTTCTGTTAGTCATGTTGGTGAAGTGGGTAAATGTGTAATCAGTACTGTTGCTTTTGTGTTGCTGAAGGTTGTCACAAGGATTCATGTTGGTTTTGTGTATTCAGTAATGTTGGATTCAGCAATCATGTTGGTTTTGAGCAACATTATGTTATCAATGCATATATTCAGTAATGTTATCAAGCCATGTATGAAACCAGCAATGAATAACAACAAGATGATGTTCACAGATCTTGCAATATCAATTCTTCAAGATGGAACCATAACAGGATGATGTATTGTCATAGATTTTGTGTCCATCAACCATTTACCAAGGACATTGAGACACACATGTCATTGTCCTGGATGTAAGGCGCTAAGTACTATCTTCCTATGCTTATATGGAAGAACCAAAAGATGTATCTATCTTCCCTGTCTGGCTGGAAGAACCAAAAGGAAGCAAAATAAGCCTAAAGCATCAACTAAGATGTTTTTGCTGCTGCTTTACAGGTTCACAGAAACTAGCACAGTGAGCCTATTGACCTATACAAAAGCATCACAGACCACATTCACAGGTCTTCAAGCCTTTTTGTCTTGGTAGTTGTATTCTTCTTGGTCTTGCCTTGCCGATTACATAGGCCACTCGGCGCATTGCGCTTCAATCTTCCTCTTCTAGCCTTGCTTGCAGTGGTAGGGGGCACTGGCCTCGTAGTAGGCTGGTTCCTCCTGATGAATGTGGAATCTAGCAATGGTTCCTTATGAAGTTGTCTTTTGCTTGTTTGTGAGGACTACATGGAATCAAGTTAGGTGTTTATAAGTTCAATTTGATAGAGTGGACGAAGTTTATGTGCACTTACATCTGCATGCAATTGAGAAATGACAGTTTCTGTCATATTTGATAGCACTGGCTAGCTCCCCTCTCCAAACTGCATGGAAGCCCACAATGCCATGCTTCAGAGTGTATGAACTATTAATCCAATTGACATGCTAAATGAGTTTCACTTGGCTAGTACCTGGTTCTTCAAAACCTTCAGCTGATCCTCCTTCTTGGCCATGATCCACATTTGATTTGTTTTGAGGTTGTAGCTCAGGCCTGATCCCAGCCTTCCTCAGCTTGCAACCACCTCTGTTATGCCCTTCTGTTCCACAATAAGAGCAAGTAATGACAGTACCATGCTTGGACATTTTAGGACCAAACTTGTCCATGACTTCATGAGGTTGCTTTCTTCTGTTCTTGGATGGCCTGCCAACTTTTTTC